AGTGCTGCATCAGATGACCTGGCCTCCACAATCACCCAACCTCAACCCAATTGAGATGGTTTGGGATGAGTTGGACCGCAGAGTGAAGGAAAAGCAGCCAACAAGTGCTCAGCGTATGTGGGAACTCCTTCAAGACTGTTGGAAAAGCATTCATAATGAAGCTGGTTGAGAGAATGCCAAGAGTGTCTAAAGCTGTCATCAAGGCAAAGGGTGGCTACTTTGAAGAATCTCAAATAAAAAATATATTTTGATTGGTTTAACACTTTTTTGGTTACTACGTGATTACATATATGTTATTTCATAATTCTGATGTATTCACTATTATTCTACAATGTAGAAAATAGTACAAATAAAGAAAAACCCTGGAATGAGTAGGTACTGTATGTGTTGAGATAATGGTACTATTATCAAACTTCTGCTTTTAACAACCACAATAGACTACTGAATGATTAAGTGCAATAGGCCTATCACATTATTCTAAATTGGTAAAAAATGTAATGTTATCCATGCCATTAGGCAACAATTAAGAGTAGGCAAAAATGAAATGAAATGTTTTACCAACGCAACATTTGATGTACAGTCACATCCACCGTGGTGGTCTGAAGCGTGCTATAGATTTTACAGCTGGCGATGCCGCATCACGATTGGATATTCCTAGGGGTGTGCCGACCTGGCTATAATCGTATTCATTATCGTATCCGTAAATTGACAGTTGATATTCGGATCGGATGATACTCATGATCGGAAAACACTGAAGTGTTTTCATATAACTAAGTAGAAGTTGGCTAAATACCTATCTCCCTGCACTTTTATAGACCACTTTTGTCTCTGTCCATGTGTCCTCAACTTGCAGCGGGGCAGACACGTTTGCTGTCACTTAGGGTGTTTTCACATATAGTCCTCTTTAAAAGAACCGATCTGAGTCCACTTTAAATTGACCTCTGGGGTAAGAAAAAGGCAAAAGACCTCAGTTGTCTTTGTATTCACACTGCCCTGGCCTTTGAATGAGGACTCAACTCTTTTTCCAGTTCACTTCACCCCTTTTGTGGTCTGAGTCCTGTTTGCATTCACATTACTATGTTTAGGCCTTTCCAAAGTGCAGGACAAGCCATTTCATCAGAACGTGTTATCGGACTGCTAGATATACCTACTTACATTTTGGAAGCTAATAGATTGCATTTAGATAAAATATGAGACATAATTATTGTAATCAGAAGATATTAACATTTAAATATTATTGGTAACAGAATAAATAACGGAAGAATAACTGCAGATTAAATAATGCTGTAGTTGAAAATTATACACCCAATGTAGGCCTACTGCCTCTTTAAGAGCTAGAATTGATTTTGTATCCTGTTGTGATTCTTACCAAATCTTCTCACACTATTCAAACCCCACTATTGAATAAACAGTCTATAAATCTCTCTTATAGATCACATATTGCAAACAAATTATCTGAACTAACAACTCCACACATATTTTGGAATTTCTGTGCATCCTTGACAATCGCTAATCAATATCTAAAAACAGCAGGTTTTTTTCCCACTAATCTACACATCTTCATCTTCTCTCTTTTGTGGCATCAATGGGAGGGTTTATGGCAGGGGGAACGGTGTTTCAGTAGTCTAGTGTGTGGTGCGGTAATAATGACAAGCGAACCTGGGGAGCTTTGTGTTCACATTGCCCTGAAAAAGGGAACCGTACCTCGGAATTCAAGCGAACCGAACTCAGACCACCTCTCGAGGTCTCAGTTTGGTTCGCTTCGGGGGCTCTTTTGAGGGGTCTGAGTTCCTTTGGAGTGTTCATACTGCACAAAAAAATAAGCGAACCGCACTGAGTTCCCAAAAATTGGCAGAAAGGGACCAAGTGTGAAAACACCCTCAGTCAGAATGCGCATCTGTGTTTCATATTTTTTCCCTCCCCTCGCTCCGCATGTTAGATATTATGCACATTGTTGATAGCTTGCTAGCAAATGTCCTCACCATTTAATTGATCATAGTAGCAGGCTAACAGGTGGCAGCAGCAATCTAAATTATCAGACCAAAACATGCGAGGAGAAGTGATTGGGTGAAATTAGGAAGCGAAGCGAGGGGACAGAGAAATACAGCTTCGCTCTATCCAATCACAGTAGCAGGATCAACGTACAGCCCGCCCTTCTCTTTACAGACAGGAAAACTAGCCAGTTAAGTTATTTAGACCACGTAGTACCTCGCACTTGATTGAAAGATGTGCGCTGGCACCCAAACATTTATGTTTTTCAGATTACAGATTTTTTTTTAAACAATCAGATCATAATCGTATCAGGAAAATAGCCCATATCTGTTACTTACTCGTTTTCTCCGACTACTCGGCACATCCCTAGTTATTCTCTGTCATTTGCAACAATGTCAATGAGCGTCATCACTATCTTTCCTTTGCGGTACCTCTTGATTACCAGCTGAGATAAACTTTTAGAAATAGATTTTAGTCCTGGCTCAGTTTGACTGAGCAGTGTCTTCACATCATCCTAAAACCTACTCTGAGCTGGGAGTTTTTCTTTCTCTTAAAACAAGTTTAAACAGGATTCCTAGGACCTTTTCTGAGACACTTTGTGGATTTGGCCCCCGGGAAATATTAAACCCTAATGAACACATTCTCAGAACACACAAAAATTGGCCAACTTGAGGTTTCTTATATGTTTATTTGTTGTTCCCTATAACTTTCAGGTGTATGTTCTTCAGAAAGCAAACATCTGCATGAACTTTCAAGAAACGTCATGGGAACCAAAACTGATCAATAAGGCAATAACAAGGGCTAGCTGGAGTCATTTTTGAAGAGAGCCCTGTTTATTACATTTGCAATTGAGAGCTTGGTACAGCATCGGTTACAGCCAGTACAAGCAAGCCCCCACTTTGTTAAACACCACATATTCTATACTAGGACAAAATCCATTAACATGGCTCCCTTGACGTATCTAATGGTCTAGATATAATTATGGTATAATTTCATCCACCTCCTGCTAGCCATTAGCGTCCGACCACTAAGATCAGTTAGGCTAATTACTAAACACAAAAAAACCTTTCACGGAAATAGAACAAAGCTGAAGGGCTTCAAGTTTGACCTGCTACTGAAAACGGATTGAAACAGGATAGAGGTTAATGACTGAAGTGAATTCATAGCTTTGATCAAGAGCAAGGGTTTACTCAAGTCTCCAGTTGTGCCCACACTAAATGTATTTAATTTCTTTAGCCAATCTCACTCTCATTTGTATATAACCGTCTCATGCACACAGTCCAGGGCACAAATGGAAAATCAGGTGAATGTGTATGATTGATAATTGATCACTTAGGCTAAACCTGAAAATTGTTCCTTTGATAGCTCTCGTCACTGAGAGTGGTAAATGGTTGATGGTGAGAGTGGTAAAACAGATTGGATCTGAATACAAAGTGATTTAGAGTTATTAATGCTCTGACTTCCTGGTTAGCCATACCATCTCATATCAGTTGAAGGAAAAATTCACCACTGCTCATTCACTTCAGACATTTTTCACCATGAACACTATTGTTAACTAAATGTACCCCAAATAAAATGTCAAATTTTCATAATTGTTTTTTTTCAGCCCACTGTTCATACTTTAAGGCAAATTAAGCCTAAAATTACCACAAAGACTTTCTCAAAGGCTGCTATAACAGGACCAAACTGGCGCTCTGTGAAATGTCATATCTAATTATATCTAATTCCAGTTAAGTCATATGAAGTAGTTTAGATTGTAAATAGTATGTGGTTGAGAACAAATATAAACTCCCTTGTTTTCTATTACTGGTTTCATTCATTTTTAATGAAGCAGGCAGATTGGTTACGGCGAGTGTACTTACGCTGGTCAAACAAACAATTAAAGGCAAATTAAACTTATTCAATATGGGATATTTAAAAACCAACTCAAAAACCAACTTGGAGGAAAGTGAAAATATATGGTTTGTAATATTTGCTCAGCTGTGACAGTTAATTTGCATGTTCTATTTGTATCTGTGTAACCACCCTGTTTTTTCCTGTACCGTCTCGTTCAAAAACCATTTCTGCTTTTATCGGTTCATTGTTACTTCTCGTTACATTTCAGGTAAGAAAATTATGTTTATTTTAAGTTTAGAAATTAGCAGTTAATTTAATATAAAATAGATGTATATTTTGAGGGCAAATGCAGATATATGTGATACTGTAGGATTTGAAATGCTTTAGATGCAGACATTATTTGATAAACTAAGCATGGAAGCTTGATTTACAAATTACAAAACCAACAAAGGTTTCACACTGGGATTTGTATTCAGATGGGATTTGTATTCAGCTTCAAACAGAAAGCTGTGTTTATTTTGTGTGTAATTCAGTGTAATATTGCAACATGGAAAATATTTAGGAAAACAACAGTTGCTTAAAACAGCTATTTATGACAAAGATAAAACTGATCATGAAAGTAATAACTTCTTGTCTACATTGACATTAAGCATAGTTACACTGTTGGAGAGCTGTGTACAGATTAATAAATAATTCATTACCTTGAAGGGTAATTTAATATGTTGGGTTGTATCACCTAGGAGAAGGATATATGACACCCCTGTTTTTTAAAATCCCATTCCCTTTTGTATTTTATCTAGACAGAAGGAAGGAGAGGGGTAGAAAGATTAAGGAGGCAGTATGGAAATGTTTGATCAAGAAGCAAACCCCTGTCTCTAAAGCGATTACAACAGGTCCAGAGTTGGTGGTGTTAACACTCAGCCACACACCCACGCAACCAACCAAATAATTGTAATTTGGCCAAAAATGGCCCATTACTAATAACAGAGAGCATTGATTTTCCACCCATTGACCACCAACCTTGGAAACCACGTTGGCAAGGATTTAAACAAACGTAGATGACCAACATTACACTGCACTCGACTTGTAGAATGTTAATGCTGTGTCGGAAGCAGAAACACAGTCCAAACGACCATCAAGTAAGAAAGCCGTGAACAACTCCATAATGACTATGATTGTGTTTCTTCTTTTTCAGATACAGAATGGCATCCCAAGGCTGTCTTGGTCTCATCAAATATTTCCTTTTCCTTTTCAATCTCCTCTTTTCTGTAAGTATGATCATTCACTTATTTAAACGTTTATGCTGCTAGACATGAGAATGGTGGTAAATGTTGCCCAAATTCACTGATGAAAATACACTCAATGTATATTTGCAGGTTGATTGAACTTGCTTGAAGTCTGTCGAAATATCTATTGATAGGTGAAATTAATTCTTAGTTGAGCGATGTATTTATTTTGCAATGCAATAAGATATCACCCTCCCACCAGTGTCTGGGTGCCCTCCTGCTGTCACTTGGGATATGGATAGTCCTTGCTGAGACAAGCTTCTTCAGTGAGTTTCTGTTTTCAACATCAACTCCATACAATGAATGACAGTATGTAATATCACATAATGTAATATTTCCACACACAAATATCATTAAATGCAATGATGTATCTGTGGTAGTATAGGAATAACATTCCCTCAGAAAATTCCTAGTGTATAAAAAAAGGACCGTCTTCCTGATTCACTTCTGGATCTCATAAACAAAATCACAATGATCCTGATGTCCCTCCAAAACATGCTTTTTTGGTTATTATATTAAGAAAGATTAGTTGATTCATTCAAAACAGACAGCCTGTAAGCTATGCATTATATTCACAAACTAGTAAAATAATAGTCCTACTTTAACCCCAGATTTGTTTTAAATTGAGACATGATTGTGCTTTGGTTCGACACTGGCCGAATTCTTATTTCAAAGTTGAGTGCACGGTACAGCTATTACTGGCAACCCATACCATTATGAACAACAAGTTTCTCAAAGTTTGTTATTTCCTCTTTTTACAGTGCCTGCCCCTCCCTATATGTCTTTTTCTGTCTTCTCCTACTTTCTGGTCATTGGTGGAAGTGCTACAATGTCATTGGGCTTCATTGGGTGTCTGGGTGCATTGAAGGAGGTGAAATGCATGTTAGGAATGGTAAGAAATAATTCAAAACAGCTGACAAGCTCCGAGTGCATTTGTAAAAAAAAAAAACATTTTGTTTGTACATGATGAGATTATTATGGACAAAAGAGTGAGATGATTTGTATTTGTATTACGCCAGCCAAGCATCGATCATCATGTCACCAGATTAAGACCGTCAATATTTATCGTAAAGGAGCATCAAGCTCATCACCGTGTACTTTCACCACCCTGTGCAGTTCATCATAAATTATTTCATCTGTAGCCTAATAAACTGCATGCTTTCCCGAGTCGTAGTGGGAGGACCACATAACATATCATCGCGTGACTCCAAGTTTACTTCGGTATGATGGTTATTATATAAATATTTGCTGTTTCCATCAGGCCTGTCGACAAATTTGCTGTTTCTATCAGGCCTGTCATGACATTTGTACAGTTTAACTTTTACAGAATGCTGATGAAACATTTGCGCTACTTATGTTTATAAACCCTATCCATTCACTTCTACCTTCAGAAAGTATTCACATCCCTTGACTTTTTCCACGTTTTGTTTTGTTACAGCCTGAATTTTAAATGGATTACATTGAGATGTTATGTCACTGGCCTACACACAATACCCCATATTGTCAACGTGGAATTATGTTTTTAGAAAGTTTTACAAATGAGTTAAAAATAAAAAGCTGAAATGTCTTGAGTCAATAAGTATTCAACACCTTTATTATAATAATATAATAACATGCCATTTAGCAGACGCTTTTATCCAAAGCGACTTACAGTCAGGCGTGCATCCATTTTTGTGTATAGGTGGTCCCAGGGATCGAACCCACTACCTTGGCGTTACAAGCGCCGTGCTCTAACAGCTGAGCTACAGGCAAGCCTAAATAAGTTCAGGAGTAAAAATTTGCTTAACAAGTCACATAATAAGTTGCATGGACTCACTCTGTGTGCAAATAATAGTGTTTAACATAATTTTTACATAATTTGTAACATTATTTTTGATTACCTCATCTCTGTACCCCACACATACAATTATCTGTAAGGTCCCTCAGTCGAGCAGTGAATTTCAAACACAGATTCAACCACAAAGACCAGGGAGGTTTCCCAATGCCTTGCAAAGAAGGGCACCTATTGGTAGATGGGTGACATTTTTTTAAAGCAGATATTTAATTTCCCTTTGAGCATAGTGAAGTTATTCATTACAGTTTGGATGGTGTATCAATACACCAAGTCACTACAATGATACAGGCATCTTTCCTAATTTAGTTGCCGGAAAAGAAGGAAACCACTCAAGGATTTCACCATGAGGCCAATGGTGACTTTAAAAGTTACAGAGTTTAATGGCTGTGATAGGAGAAAAATGAGGATGGATCAAAAGCTTTGTAGTTACTCCACAATACTAAACTAAATGACAGAGTGAAAAGGAAGCCTGTACAGAATACAAATATTCCAAAACACGCATCCTGTTTGCATTAAGGCACTAAAGTAAAACTGCAAAAAATGTGGCAAATAAATGTACTTTATGTCCTTAATACAAAGCGGATTTTGGGGCAAATCCAACGCAACACATGACTGAGTACCACTCTTCATATTTTCAAGCATGGTGGTGGCTGCATCATGTTATGGGTAGGCTTGTCATCGGCAAGGACTAGGGAGTTTTTTGGGATAAAAAGAAACAGAATAGAGCTAAGCACAGACAAAATGCTAGAGGAAAACCTGGTTCAGTCTGCTTTCCAACAGACATTGGAGACACATTCACCTTTCAGCAGGACAATAACCTAAAACACAAGGCCAAATATACAGTAGAGTTGCTTACCAAGACGATATTGAATGTTCCTGAGTGGCCTAGTTACAGTTTTGACTGAAATCGGCCTTTAAAATCTATGGCAAGACTTGAAAATGGCTGTCTAGTAATGATCAACAACCAACTTGACAGCGCTTGAAGAATTTAAAAAAGAATAATGCGCAAATATTATGCAATCCAGATTTGCAAAGCTCTTAGAGACTTACCCAGAAAGACTCACAGCTGTAATCGCTGCCAAAGGTGATTCTAACATGTATTGTATACTTATGTCAATTATATATGTCTGTTGTTCATTCTCAATAATTTTGCAAAAAGTTATAAAAACATGTTTTCACTTTGTCATTATGGGGTATTGTGTGTAAATGGGTGAGAAAAAAATGTATGTAATCCATTTTGAATTCATGCTGTAACACAACAAAATGTGGAATACGTCATGGGGTATGAATACTTTCTTTAGGCACTGTATTTTATTTGCTTAAAAGCTATTTGATCAACATCCATAACAAATCAATGCAATGCCACTGTAATTCTATCACAATAGCTAGGTTTCCATTCAATTGGTGACAGATTTTCATGCAAATATTATAACATCCGCAATATGTGGATTTTCCCACTAGAGAGATGTGTTTCCATCAAAATGACTTGTTGCCGATAAAAGGCTGTGCGTGATGACGTAGTGCACATAAAAATAACTTTTGTGGTTAAATTCCCATGTACCGATTAAAGATACAAGTTAAATGGGTTTCCATTTTCAACTCTACTGATGGTTTTGTCACAAAAAATTTTGCCTTATATAGCAAATGTGCCCACTCTGGTTCTTTATAGAACATTTATGGAGAATGGTTCTATAAAGAACCTTTCTCAATCTGAAAGGTTCTTTTTAGATCCTCTTTAAAAACCATACAGGGTTTTTATTCTGGTCAACCATATTATATTGTTAAAATTTCATCTGTGTTAATATTGTGTTCATTGACAAGTTGAATCAAGTGAGCTACCTCTAGAACAGCTGGGGGTCCCCCAGGACAGAATTGAGAACCACTGACAATTTTTTTTTAAATGAGATTATGAGATTGATGAGATTATTATGGACGAAAAAGCAAGATTATTTGTATTTGTCAAATGGCAGCCAAGCATCGATTATCCTGTCACCAGAATAAGACCGTCAATATTTATCGTAAAGGAGCATCAAGCTCATCACCGTGTACTTTCACCACCCTGTGAAGTTCATCATAAATTATTTCATCTGTAGCCTAATAATGTTCATGCTTTCCCGAGTCTTAGTGGGAGGACCACAAAACATATCATCGTGTGACTCCAAGTTTACTTTGATATGATGGTTATTATATCAATATTTGGCCATAAAAGCGTTTCGTCGACATTTGAAAAGTTTACCAACAAATTTGCTGTTTCCATCAGGCCTGTCGTGACATTTTTTATCCGACATGTACTTTACTCACGTAAAAAAGTTGGATGGAAACCTGGTTTATTGTTCTGTTAATGTACAACTTAAATTAAACGCTGAGTCTCAAATACAGCCTGTACCTGTTAATAGCCGGGTAATAGCACACATTTCAGCAAATAAATGCCTGTTTCAAATAAACACCAGGTCTAAATGAATTATTTACGAGGTTAACATGAATTACCATGAATTTTTTACAAGGGTTAATGTTTGATTTGTTATCTCAAATAATTCAGTAATGAGTAGAAGAAATTATGTCAATCATCCGTTTTTATTGCCAGTAAGAAACTGCTAGCCATTGGCTGCTATCAGCGGAGAACTGCTAGCTAACTGGGAAGCACAAAAACAGTCAACAACTTCGGGAGTACAGACCCCCAGAAAATGGTATGAACTGCCGAAAATGCACAGTCAAAGAGGAGAATAATTATTCTGTCAAGGAAAAGTTATTTTTCATCCAAAATAGAGGCATACTAAGACAAAATAAACGAAACCCTGTGAGTAAAGGATAACATATTAGTGAAGGAAATGAAGAAATTGATTAAAATGCTGGAAGTGAAAGCTGGAATTAAACAATTAACTATGCAAATAAGCAAAAGCTGTGTGGATTAAGGAAATAAACACCTGGCTCAAATAGACGCCTGGCTCTAATATGCGGTCAGTGATTTAAGAAAAGACACACTGGGCTATTAATTGAAGTTTTACGGTATGTCCAAAGCTATAGAGATGTATGCAGATTACCTGCACCTAAAAAACAAACAAATAAATAATGTAGCAGCACATAAAAATATGGCAGTGATTAATCTCCTCTAACTATTGTTCATCTTTACAGTATTTCATCCTGCTCACCATCCTTCTTGCTGCTCAGATTGTGGGAGCGGTTCTGCTCTTCACTCAGAGGACTTCAGTAAGACATTTACCTACGATATTACCTGAGGAACTACACTTACTTATTGACTTATCTTCACACGAGCCATGTACAATGCTTAAAGTAACACAATCATTGGTGTTACTCGACCATAGTTACACATCACAGTCAACAATGACACTGTTTAAACTATTAAAACATGTCTGGCACTCAAGATTGTGTTGGTTCACCCTTATTTATGAGTTACAAAGGTATTCAAAGATTACTTCTTGAACTAGCTATGTATTTATTGTAAATCAATTTTTCCCCCTCTGACCAGGAAATGCAGTTTTCATATTATTCTCTCCTCTTGCCACATTTTACATTTGCGTTTGAGTCATTAAGTAGACGCTCTTATCCAAAAAATGCATACATTTTCATACTTGTCCCCGGTGGGAATACAAACCCACAACCCTGGCATTGCAAGTGCCATGCTCTACCAACTGAGCCACTCGCCTAGGAGAAAGTCAAATACATAAGGATTTCATAATGGTGTGACAACTGTCATAACAGGGAGATTTTGAAAATAATATTGTTGCCTAAAGGGGGCACTGCTATGATATCTAATTCCACAGAGTCACATTCTGTGTATGCAATAGCCTAGTTTTTCTCAGGGTGTGCCACGAAAGTAAAACCTCTTTTGTTAACTGGTGAATGTGTTGAAAGGTGATCTTGTAAGTCGATATCAGTGGGTATGTTATTTACACAATAGTTGGAGTGACTTTTGAAAGGCATCAAATTTTTTTCTCTCCCATTTTGTTCTAGTTTGAGAGCAAAGTCGAAGAGCATGTCCTTCATCTCATTGCATCATTTGGCAAGAATGATTCCAACTATCAGAATTTTGAAAAGACCCTGGACTACGTTCAGCAGGAGGTAATAAATGCTGTAGTATACACTGCCAGTTGGTAATTTGTCCTTTGGATGAAATGTTGAACTGAGGTATTGAAGAGTAGGGGTGTTAACCCCGATGTCCTGGTTAAATTCCCAACCTGGCCACATATTGTCATGGCCACCAAATCACCCCCTGATTCCTAATTGACATAAATCACTTCTCACCTCTTCACTGTGAAAGCTAATGTATGGTGAGCTTTCTGTCTCAAAATGCCTGCTGTGGCATCACCCCGGTGGGTGCAAAACATTGGTGGTGGATGAGGTGAGTTTCCACCATACATTAATGTAAACTGCTTTGAGCATCTGGAATAACACTCTATACATCCAGTCAGTTAACTATGATTATCAATTGGAATGGATCAACCTAATTCTGAAAGAGTCATGGTTTGTTTGGATAGTTCCTTATACATGCTCCAAATATTATCAAACTAAAACAAACTAATCTTAAACTTTAAATTGAGTTGCTGCTGATGCTTGTAATGTGTGAATTAATTTAGCTAGGTCATCTATGATAGAAACTAGTTCAATTAAATTTAGGCCAGGATTCAAACCCACACAGATTATTGCTATTGCACTTGACTTGTAGAATGTTTATGCTGTGTAGGAGGTGTAACCACAGTAACAGTAATTAAACCTCAACAAAGCCCACTTCAACATAGTTGTCTTCTAACTTCATGCATGATTTAATTTCCATGTGAATGAAGTGATTTATATAATCAAGTTGTAATCTAAGAAATAATTTAAGAACAGGTATGGTTTGGTGATGCGTGAACCAATGGCAATGTCCATGATAAAAAGTTACGTCCGAATCAGGATCGCAGTGTGTCAAGTGCAGTACGATGGTCAGTTGTCTGCATGGTTTGAATCCCGGCCTTAGACTTAGGGAAAGTGTTAGATTAAGCATTCTCTCCTTGTCTTACAACCATGCAGATTCATTGTTGTGGATGGATAGGACCAAACAACTGGGTGGAGGCACCATGCTCCTGTTACCACCCCATCAATAACACCCAGAATGCCTCAATTTCTTCCGAAATGTGTGACTGCAATGCCATCCTGTCTCTTTCAAATTACACAATGTGTGACATCTATCAAACGGTAAGTGGTCCTGACTCATGGCATTACTTCAAATGTGTTACATTTGATATAAAACATTTTTTTTAAAGGCCAGCACACCTTTATGTTTTTTTCATTTGTATGTGATCTATTTTTGGTCCCAAGCACCCTTTTTTACTTGTTTACAGAAGAGGATTTAGAGTTAAGCACATTCTCTACCTTAACTGTGACGTTTGATATTTCCTGGTATTTTACTGATTGCTTTTACTTCTCTGTTACAGGGGTGCAGAGAGAATATTAGAGAGTGGTTGGACGAGAATATGCTCATAACTTTTGGCGTGTTACTTGCTGTGATGACGGTGGAGGTAAATTGGATAATTTCATCTCAATTTCACAAACTGGGTCAGAAATCACAATATGCTATACCGAAAGTATTCTCACAGGCAAATTAGTTGTAATCATAATGGTTAGTATCATTAAGAATCAACAAGTGTTTAGAGATCAGGGGGTTTCAGTGAATGGTTAAATTGACCCTCAATAGGTGGTCTGAGAATGTGTATATCCTCACAGCAAAGTTGTTCCTGTAGTAGGTACAAGGGTTCTTTGGGAAGGGAGATGGTTCTATGTGGAACCATGCTGACCCAAAGAACCCTTTGAGCCCTTCAGTGGTTCTTTGCAGTTCAAAAAAGGGTTATTTCTTCTTTTTGTGATAATTTAAATATGGCTCATTAGAATATTTTGTGGCATGGTTTAGTCACAGCTTTTTTGTTTGTGCAACCGTGAGTGAGAGTGTCATTCCAGTTGATCTAATCTGTTGTGTTATGCTAAAACATGTTTTATTTGACTATGGCCAGTGAAGGTGTTTTGTGAAAGAGTCAAGTATGGCCTTGGGTCAATTGAGAATGGTTGACTAACTTAGTCAGTAGTTCTCAATTCTCTCCTCAGGGACCCCCAGCTATTTCAGAGCTAACATACCTGATTCAACTTGTCTATAAACACAACAATAAAACCTATAGAATGTTAACAATATAATATGGTTATTAAACCAGAATAAAACAGCCTGTATGGTTCTACAAAGAACCTTTGATATTGAGAAAGGTTCTTTATAAAACCATTCTCCATAAAGGTTATAAAGAACCATAAAAAAGGGTTGTAACCATAGCAGAACCCCATTTTTTTGGTGCTATCTAGAACCTTTTTTTAATGGTTTTTATAGAAGCTTAGCAAATGGTTCTTTATAGCACCATACAGGTTCCATTTAGAACCTGATAAGCATGGTTCCTTATAAACCAAAAATTTATCATCCATATTACACTAAAAAGGGTTCCACTACGGTTACAAGCCAACTAACACTTTTTTTGGCACTATATAGAACCATTTGTTTTTAGTGTGTACTAGGGAAGCTTTAACACAATCACCGCACTTACTGTAACTACTCCTATGGTGGAGCAATCATATTGTTAGAGTTTCGTTTAAACGCCCCATGAGAAGACCAGAGTTCCCCACGCTTTTTGTCTGTGTCTCCATGTTCTTATCCCAGTGTCTCCAATGGGTGTGTCTCCTGGTTCTTTGTTGTCTGAGTTGTACTCCATGTCCATGTCGTCATCCCTCAAAGACTAAAGACAGGCACTTTCAACTTTCCAGGTCTGTCATGTTTTTGTGTAGTGGTGATGTAGTAAAAAAAAAATTATATATATATATATATATATATATATATATGTATGTATATACTACCGGTCAAAGGTTTTAGAACACCTACTAATTGGAGGGTTTTTCGTTATTTTTGCTATTTCCTACATTGTAGAATAATTCTTAAAATAGCCACCCTTTGCCTTGATGACAGCTTTGCACACTCTTGGCATTCTCTCAACCAGCTTCATGAGGTAGTCACCTGGAATGCATTTCAATTAACACATGTGCCTTCTTAAAAGTTAATTTGTGGAATTTCTTTCCTTCTCAATGCATTTGAGCCAATCAGTTGTGTTGTGACAAGGTAGGGGTGGTATACAGAAGATAGCCCTATTTGGTAAAAAACCAACAGCTCAAATAAGCAAAGAGAAATGACAGTCCATCATTACTTTAAGACATGAAGGTCAGTCAATAATGAAAATGTGAATAACTTTTAAAGTTTCTTCAAGTGCAGTCACAAAAACCATCAAACACTATGATGAAACTGGCTCTCATGAGGACCGCCACAGGAATGGAAGACCCAGAGTTACCTCTGCTGCAGAGGATAAGTTCATTAGAGTTACCAGCCTCAGAAATTGCAGCCCAACTAAATGCTTCACAGAGTTCAGGTAACAGACACACCACAACATCAACTGTTCAGAGGAGACTGTGTGAATCAGGCCTTCATGGTTGAATTGCTGCAAAGAAACCACCACTAAAGGACTCCAATGAGAAGAAGAGACTTGATTGGGCCAAGAAACATGAGAAATGGACATTGTCCTTTGGTCTGGAGTCCAAATTGGATATTTTTGGTTCCAACCGCCGTGTCTTCGTGAGACACGGTGTGGGTGAACGGATGATCTACGCATGTGTAGTTCCCACCGTAAAGCATGGAGGAGGAGGTGTTATGGTGTGAGGGTGCTTTGCTGGTGACACTGTGTGTGATTTATTTAGAATTCAAGGCACACTTAACCAACATGGCTACCACAGCATTCTGCAGCGATACGCCATCCCATCTGGTTTGGGCTTAGTGGGACTATCATTTGTTTTTCAACAGGACAATGACCCAACACACTTCCAGGCTGTGTAAGGGCTATTTTACCAAGAAGGAGAGTGATGGAGTGCTGCATCAGATGACCTGGCCTCCACAATCCCCCGACCTCAACCAAATTGAGATGGTTTGGGATGAGTCGGACCGCAGAGTGAAGGAAAAGCAGCCAACAAGTGCTCAGCATATGTGGGAGCTCCTTCAAGACTGTTGGAAAAGCATTCCAGGTGAAGCTGGTTGAGAGAATACCATGCGTGTGCAAAGCTATCATAATAATAATAATAATATAATATCAAGGCAAAAGGTGGCTATTTGAAGAATCTAACATATAAAATAGATTATTTTTGGTTACTACATGATTCCATATGTGCTATTTCATAGTTTTGATGACTTCACTATTATTCTACAATGTAGAAAATAGTAAAAATTAAGTAAAACCCTTGAATGAGTAGGTGTTCTAAAACCTTTGACCGGTAGTTTATATATTCAGTGGGGAGAACAAGTATTTGATACACTGCCGATTTTGCAGGTTTTCCTACTTACAAAGCATGTAGAGGTCTGTAATTTTTATCATAGGTACACTTCAACTGTGAGAGACGGAATCTAAAATCCAGAAAATCACATTGTATGATTTTTAAGTAATTAATTTGCATTTTATTGCATGACATAAGTATTTGATCACCTACCAACCAGTAAGAATTCCGGCTCTCGCAGACCTGTTTGTTTTTCTTTAAGAAGCCCTCCTGTTCTCCACTCATTACTTGTATTAACTGCACCTGTTTAACTCGTTACCTGTATAAAAGACACCTGTCCACACACTCAATCAAACAGACTCCAACCTCTCCACAATGGCCAAGACCAGAGAGCTGTGTAAGGACAGGATTATCATAGGTACACTTCAACTGTGAGAGACGGAATCTAAAACAAAAATCCAGAAAATCTCATTGTATGATTTTTAAGTAATTCATTTGCATTTTATTGCATGACATACGTATTTGATACATCAGAAAAGCAGAACTTAATATTTGGTACAGAAACCTTTGTTTGCAATTACAGAGATCATACGTTTCCTGTAGGACTTGACCAGGATTGCACACACTGTAGCAGGGATTTTTGCCCACTCCTCCATACAGACCTTCTCCAGATCCTTCAGGTTTCAGGGCTGTCGCTGGGCAATACGGACTTTCAGCTCCCTCCAAAGATTTTCTATTCGGTTCAGGTCTGGAGACTGGCTAGGCCACTCCAGGACCTTGAGATGCTTCTTACGGAGCCACTCCTTAGTTGCCCTGGCTGTGTGTTTCGGGTCGTTGTCATGCTGGAAGACCCAGCCACGACCCATCTTCAATGCTCTTACTGAGGGAAGGAGGTTGTTGGCCAAGATCTCGCGATACATGGCCCCATCCATCCTCCCCTCAATACGGTGCAGTCATCCTGTCCCCTTTGCAGTAAAGCATCCCCAAAGAATGATGTTTCCACCTCCATGCTTCACGGTTGGGATGGTGTTCTTGTGGTTGTACTCATCCTTCTTCTTCCTCCAAACACGGCGAGTGGAGTTTAGACCAAAAAGCTCTATTTTTGTCTCATCAGACCACATGACCTTCCCCCATTCCTCCTCTGGATCATCCAGATGGTCATTGGCAAACTTCAGACGGGCCTGGACATGCGCTGGCTTGAGCAGGGGGACCTTGCGTGAGCTGCAGGGTTTTAATCCATGACGGCGTAGTGTGTTACTAATGGTTTTCTTTGAGACTCTGGTCCCAGCTCTCTTCAAGTCATTGACCAGGTCCTGCCGTGTAGTTCTGGGCTGATCCCTCACCTTCCTCATGATCATTGATGCCCCACGAGGTGAGATCTTGCATGGAGCCCCAGACCGAGGGTGATTGACCGTCATCTTGAACTTCTTCCATTTTCTAATAATTGCGCCAACAGTTGTTGCCTTCTCACCAAGCTGCTTGCCTATTTTCCTGTAGCCCATCCCAGCCTTGTGCAGGTTTACAATTTTATCCCTGATGTCCTTACACAGCTCTCTGGTCTTGGCCATTGTGGAGAGGTTGGAGTCTGTTTGATTGAGTGTGTGGAAAGGTGTCTTTTATACAGGTAACGAGTTCAAACAGGTGCAGTTAATACAGGTAATGAGTGGAGAACAGGAGGGCTTCTTAAAGAAAAACTAACAGGTCTGTGAGAGCCGGAGTTCTTACTGGTTGGTAGGTGATCAAATACTTATGTCATGCAATAAAATGCAAATTAATTACTTAAAAATCATATGATGTGATTTTCTGGATTTTTTTAGATTCCGTCTCTCACAGTTGAAGTGTACCTATGATAAAAATTACAGACCTCTACATGCGTTGTAAGTAGGAAAACCTGCAAAATCGGCAGTGTATCAAATACTTGTTCTCCCCACTGTATATATATATATATATATATATATATATATATATATATACTTTATAATGCCTAATGAAAGTCTACACACACCTTGCACAGTTTTCACATTTTGCTGCCTTAAATTTACATCTAAAAGTATCTACACAACTTACTCCACATTCTTAGTGAAATAAACATTATATGAAATTTTCTAAATTAAACAAATATAAATATTTCAATTTGATGTGTTGTGTTGGATTTGACCCATACCTGAAATTTTCATTTAGGCCAAAA